TCAGACCAGTCAGGTGTTGTCATATCGGCTGTGAGCTCACATGCAGAACAGATCTCGACATCGACGGAGTAAATGCAGCATGAGGATGATGAAGTGTGTCGTGTTCGTGGTGGTCCTGACCTTTCTGCAGAGTCGTACAAGAGGAGGTGAGTGAGGCCTTCACTGTTAGTTCTGTTTAGACTGGAATAAGATCAGATGTTTAATCTTGGTACATCGTGCTGTCGTGGTAACTTTCACCACAGAAAGGAGGCAGACGAGGACACACAGTAAGTGAAGGAAGAGAGCAGAGTGAAGGAGACTTCATTGTCCTAAAGGAGACATTTGTCTTTGGCACAGAGCATCAGAAACAACATGAAGACATCTAAAACAAAAGAGACGAGACGCACACAACACGGCAAGAAACTATATCTGTAATATCCAGAAAAATAGACTAAGAAAGTTTAAGTTAGGTCAAATGTCAAAGACACAAAAGAAGAAGGATTATGTATCATTGTCATTGAGAATCAGATATGAGGACGTAAATGTCGTAACAAGACAGCGAAAGTAAAATAAATGTGCGATAAATAAGAAATGAATCAAAGAATTTTCTGTCAGCTTTAACTGGAATCCTGCAGAACCAGTCTGCACACATTCCTACACACACACACACACATTCCAACAAACACACACACACACACACACACACACCCAGGAATGAGGTGAGCATAACACACTTCTGTTTGTCCACCAGCGTTAGTCAAAGTCTGTATCACAGCCTGCAGCTGTCGTATTTTTAGATTCCTGATGACATCATTTCCTGGTTCCTGAGAGACGCTGCTGACAGAAAGAGAAATCAGATCTGCGTCTGGTTCTACCTCAGTGGTGTTAGGAGGAGTCTAGACTCCATCTGGACCCTTTTCTCTTGTGAAATATTATATATTTAATATATTTAATTGTGATTATTTTGACTGATATTGAGATGTGATTGAGGGACGATAATTTAATTAATTATTCTCATTTTCACTGAACAACATATTTTTGGGGGGATCCATACCAAACAGATGTTTTCGGATCTCTGCAGCTTCACAATATTTAATATAAATATTGTGATTTCTATAAAACTACGATCAATTGTGCAGCCCTTTAAAATATGAAACATACGCGACCTGACGAGTCATTTTAAACTAGCACTGCTTGGCTGTAAAGGACCACAGATCAAAAAGGGTCTTTGCTAACAAACATCTTTATAGATGAACTGAGGACTCTTGTGTTACTTTATGTTTGTTTCATTTATTGCAGAGCACAAAGTAACACAGTTTAGAAAGGTGCTCAAAGAACATTTTGTTATTATAGTGTTAACACTGGGTTAAGGTTCGTCTCAACGTTTAGCTGTCAGTGAATATAAATATAAATAATTAAAGAGAGCTCACTTGGATTCTGCTGCTATTCTCCCTGAAGTGAACTTTGATGGATGTCTCTTTACCTGATGTGTTGCAGATGCTGAGGTGTCCTGTGTTTTCATGGAGAGCTGCATTTTACCGTGCAGCTTCAAGGCTGGTGAAGATTTAGTCCTCCACTGGTTTCATGTGACATCGAGAATCATTCCTGTCCACTCTTTCTACCACAACCAAGACCAGTTCACCCACCAGAGCAACAGCTTCAGAGGCAGGACGTCTCTGTTCAAGGACCAGATCTCCAGAGGAAACGCCTCACTCCGGCTGAAGGTGGTAAAGGTTCAGGACGAGGGCAGATACAAGTGCTACACCGGCACGGATACTGGCACCGGGGAATCGTTCATCCACCTAACAGTACACGGTATGAGAATGAGACACTCAGCAAATTATAACTTCAACACAATTTATTGTTATTTCCCACATTTCCACAAATCTGTTTCAAGTCTTCTCTTACTCGTCTTCACAGCTCCGGTCCGTAAAGTCGACATTCAGCAGGTAGACAACAGGATCACCTGCAGCTCAGAGGGGATCCTCCCTAAACCTGAGCTCACCTGGTCCACCAGCTCTCAGTCCAGCGTGACCCTCCAGAACAAACCCACAGTCCAGCAGACTGAGCAGCAGCTCTACAGCATCAGTAGTTCTCTGAACGTCTCAGGTACTGATCTGGACTACAGCTGCACCGTCAGCACTCCAACAAACAAGAGGAGAGCCACGTGGTCTCAACCCAGTGAGTGTTTCTCAGAAGAAGTAGATCCTGATGAGAAACAGCAGATATTTGATCACCTCTGTTCATCTGTGTGTTGTATCTTTTTAGCTTCCATCAACGGCTCAGCCACTGAAACAACAATCCCCTGCACGTCCTCAAACACTCTAACAGGCCTCATCTGGAGGTTCAACCACAGTCACATCATCCTGAACCAGACCGGGAACCACTCCACAGTCTCAGAGGAGTGGAGGCAGCAGGTGGAGAGTGTGTCTGAGTCAGGCAGCCTCACGCTAAAGGACTTATCTTCAGATCAAGAGGGGATTTACACCTGTGAGCTCAGTGACGCTGAGGAGACATACGTCACCAACACCTTTCTGAGGATAGAGAGAAGTCCAGGTAAGAAGACAAGAGGTGGAACTTTCACTGTGACTGTCATCATCTGTGATATCTGGTTTATGTTAAACCATATAAAGTTAAATTAATTAATTAAACTGTTTACGTTTCAGAAAGTCCCAATAATGACGCAGCAATTGCAGGCGGAGTGATTGGAACCATTTTAGTTTTGGTTTTAATCGCAGCAGCATACTTTATAAAAAAAAATCACTAAAACCTCTGAGTAAGTATGTCTTCTGTGTTGAACACAACAGCAGCAGCACTCTGGTGAACTCTTCATGAGTTGTGACTTTCTGTTGATTAATACGTCTAGTTTCATTTCCCCAAATCATTTTGACATGCTGCAATTCATTTATTTAATCAATAAGGCTGTATTAATGATGTATTGTGACAGGACTTGATATGTTTATTGGTATTAAAATGTATTGAATTGGTGAGACAAAGACAAATTGAATCAGTGCAACAATAAAAGTTTAATTATTAAATTAATCAGTTAAAATCTACTTTTACATTCTCTTTGTTACAAAGATGATGTAAACAAGTCGACACAGCTGAGATGATGATATGAGAGATTATTTGGAGTTTCAGCACTGAACTTCATTTCATTTTGTCTGCAGAGAAACAGAGATGACTCCAACGACAGCAAAGACAGAAGATGATTCAGCTGAAGGAGAAGACGGAGAAGACGGACATCCACAAAGACGCAACACCGATCGGCTCCTTGAAGAAGAACAAAGAGACCTCGAGCCAAATGAAGACACAAACATCTCCACTGAGGATGAATTATGAGTTTATACTTGATGCACTTATTTCCTGCACTGAGAGCATGAACTTGAAGGGAGCATTAATAATACAACAATCCTGATCACCCAAAGTGAATGAAGGACACTCTGGACCAGGACTGTGATCTACACTGAACTCAATGTGCAGCTTTGCTTCCAGCTGGAGGTCCTCCCATGAGGAGCCACGGAGACACAGACACTTTAAACACCCTGGAGAGTTCCTCATGCAGGTCAATCCTTGACTTTAACTCTTGAAGTCCCTTTAGTGACACACACTGAACATCCTGGTGAGGTCATGTGACAGGGAGTTAATTTGTGCACCAATGACATCACTTCCAAAATGGCTGCCTGGCTGGTCATTTAGCAGAACTAGCTCGTTAGAAGCTTGTTTTTGTTGCTGAAGGTTTCAACACATTTAACAATTCTAACGCTTTGATGAGAAGTCCTATGTTACATCTAAACTCTTCCAAACATGTTCATCAAACTCATTTATGTCTAAACAGTTATGAAAATATCGTTGTGACAGATGTGTCACATCAGGCTTTTAAACTCATAATTGTCTCAGAAAAACCAAAGTGACGCATTTATCACAATAAGGAAAATAATAATGAGAACTGATAATTAAATTATGTTCTTTTGTTGAATTCAAAAGATATTTAAACAAAACAAATGTCAAATTGATTAAATTATTAGTGAAATGAATTAAGAAAGTAAATTGTACATATCAGTAAATATTGTGACACATATGTAACATTTCAGATCTTTGGCACTAGGGGGCAGTATTTAGAAAGTGTGTTCAGAAAGCCTGCCCTCCATCCTGGACTTGTTCAGCTCCAGAGTCAGGAAGCGGTCTGAAGGATCACTGCAGACCTTCACACCCTGGACACAAGCTGTTCATCTGCTCCCCTCTGGAGGCGCTACAGAGCTCTGTACGCCAACACCTCCAGACACAGGAACAGCTTCTTCTGCTGTCACTCTGATGAACAATTAATCAGACATTCTGCTCTACTACCTTTGATATAGATATGTATATGTTGTACATAGTCGTTAAATGTATGTACTTACACTGTTCTACTTTGTTGTTCTTTATTTCTCTTGTTTATTTGTACTTTCTGTGTATAATAACCGGAGTCATATTCTGTGTACGCGTTAGCATACATGTCTAATGAAGCTGGTTCTGATCCTGAATGTGTTCCATGTGATCCATTTAGTCTGTTTATATCTCCTTTAATGATCCTTTAATGAACAATGTGAACAAAAATACTTTTGTATACTTCTGCAGCTAAAAGATGTGTTTTCTCTTTCTCCTTCTGTTTCTCTGATCACATGACTCAAGATGAACGTCAAACTATCATGACGGTATATTTAAGAGGTGAATGATTCAACATTTGAACTCATAAATAAGTACAAAAAGACAAATAAAGATGAAAGCTGGACACACAGAGGAAGTCTTCTGGTCAGATTAGTAGTCGGTGAATTCACAGACTGAATGTGTGAACGATGTCTGTCTGTTCTCAGATTAATCATCAGAACCGTTTGGACATCTTCTCCTGAAACATGATTTATAATTCATGCTACATTAAAAATATTAAGAATTATACATGTTAAATGTGAGTAAATGAATGAACACTACTTCACTGTTAGTCATGTCCACGAACACGCCTCAGTCTCTGCTTTGGTGTTCAATGTTTTAAACTGAAACGGAGTGAATCATCTTCTCTCTACTGAATAAACTGACAAATATTTAAGATCCCAAAAGCGTGTGTGTGAGATGAGCAGGACTGGACAGCAGATGGAGTCAGAGGAGAACTCCTCTCTGTCTCCTCACTTAAACTCTTCATCAACGTTACAGGACGAAGAAATAAAAGCGTTTGTTTCTCTTGGTGACTACTTTACTGTTGTTCCTTTAGAAGCTGTTGTTCTGGTGATAAATAAACCTGCTCTGCATCTTTACAGGTCTGTTACTGTTCAACTACAATCATCTGGAGACTCAATACAGATGTGACTCCTCTGTAAGTCCTGATGGAGCCTGGTACCATGACAAGGCCTTTATTATGACGACGACGACGACGACGACGACGACGACGACGACGACGAAGAAGAAGAAGACACAAAGAACAACAAAACCAAGAAGAAGAAGAGCAATAACAACAACAACAACCCCTGATATCCTTCAGCAGCATCAACTCTCTACGTGGTTCTGAGTGTATTTAGGTTTTAAGTCTGTAATCTAATTTCATTTTAAAGTGTCTGTTTGCATCAGATCTGTTCTGATTCTCAGGTGAATAAGTTGTTTGTTTAGTCAGACTGAAACATTGCTTTCATTTTCAGATCTAGATATGTTTTTAATCACCTGCTGACTCCACTATTATAATCACACTTTAGTCTTTCACCAGCTGATGATAAAACGTTCAAAGTCTAATTTACAGGAAACACGACTGAAGCTCTTTCATCTCAGCTGTCGCCGCTGCTGGTTACCTGTGAGTGTTATTATTGATGATCTGTAAACTGATCGTTGCTCGGCTCTACTACTGCTTCTTATTGTCATTAAATGGATGTAAAGGAATGTAAAGATTGTTGAATGAAATGTTGACTCACCCTTCAAGTGTTTACCAGGGCAATGACCTCTTGAGATTTCACGAGAGAACTCATCAGACCAGTCAGGTGTTGTCATATCGGCTGTGAGCTCACATGCAGA